GAACAAGATTTTAAAAAAGTTCTTCTTGAGCTTACATTTAAGTGTGGAAGACAGACAAGAAATAAGACAGATGAGTGAAAATATTGTATGTTAGATAGTGATTATCAGATGTGAGGCTTACATTAAAATAATGTATATGAGGTGACCAGCACAAACTCTGGCGTGTAGTAAGTATTCAATAGATAGTAATTCCCTTTGCTTCTTCAGTCTTCCTAACAGCTCCTGAGTTAGTCTACAGCATGGTAGTGATCAGCAGAAGGCCTGACTCCTTGCCTTCTACTTCTCACCAGTTAATAAGGCCTAAACCTATTTTGTTTAAGATGACAAAAGTATTCTTACCGGTGTGTTTTGTACTTTCTATATGGCAGATTAATAAAGGCGGTGCCTAAACACTGTTGATAAATGGCCTTTTCTGAAGCCAGTTGGCAAAGGCCCTTGCCTGGAGCTAGATGGCATCCGACCACAAGGACAAATGCATGATTTCTTTGCTGTTTAAGCTGAACGGACCAGGAAACTGTACTGGCTGCTTCTCTTAAAAGATGTGTGACCTGTGTCCTGTTCCAAACACAAGAACTGGGCAAAGTTTGCATTATTTCTGGGAGACCAGGGCATTGACTAAAAGCCAGGAAAAGAGGGTTTAATGCTTGTGGTTGCTATATATTTTTGCCCATTGTAGAAAATTTGGGCAGTTCAGAAATGTTTAAAGAAGCAGCCAAAAGTTCAGCATTTCACCAGACCCATCTCTCTGCCTCAGCTTCATCCTCCAGAAACATCCAGTGAATAGTCAATTTGCTGAATTCCCTCTTTAGACCATCACAGTTGGGACGATTGTGGGAATGAGAAAGTGGAGCATAAGGAGGCAAAATACACAAAGCAGTGGTAACTGGCCTGCTGGCCTGGCCATCCCTCGCTCCTCTTATTAAAAGGGCCCTGAGTTCTGTCCTCAAGGATTCAGTGCAGTGTTAGCTCACAGAAGAAACTGGATGTGAGGCTGTAGGCCAGTACCCCTGTACCTTATTTTAAGGACTTAATAAGTGAAAATTCAGAATTACAACCCAGATAGATAAGGAAATGGGCCCAGGGAGGTTGAGTGAATTTTCTTGAATCACACATCTAAGTGGTGGGAAAGCCAGGATAATAATGAAGGACCTTGAATTTCACTCAGTCCAGTGATTTTTTTTCCCATTATTCTATTGGTAATAATTTCCTTTACTAAATTGTGCATTCTTAAGATAACTTTAAAATAATGGTCACCTTGGCATTTGATAAACATGATTTACCAACAATTGATTCACATGCAATTTGGAGGGAACGTATTTATGGCAAAGAAGGTGATGCAAAAGTTTCTCCAAGATCCCTGGGGTGCCCAGGCCCCTGGTCCTTCTCCCAGAGGTGTGTATTCATAAGTAAATGTTGGCATTCTGTCATTCATTTTTTCCAGATGTTCTTCCCAAGTAGTGTGTTATGTCTTGTGTTTTTAATATTTCTCATATACATTTTAAAAAATCTGGGCACATAAATCCTAATAAAGTTCTCAACTATCTCCTCTATGCTGTCTCAAATTTCTGGGTATGTTTATATTTATGACAATGTCTGAAGGTATGAATACTATCACATCATTAGGGCTTATATTACTAAATCCTAGGCTTGTGTTTCTAGATGTTCTGAAAATTCTTTACACTTCACTTGTAAATGCCACTATACTGTGCCATGACATTTCCATAGTAACATATATTTCAAACAGGAAAACAGAGGAAGCCCGAGGAAAAGGGATGTAGGTTTCAAATAACAACAACAACAAAGATTAAAAATAGTAGAATACATAAGATAAGGAGTGTAAATTCTGGTTTGATGTCCCCTGAGAACAGAATATCTTGCAGACCTGCCTTAGGGACTGGCAATATCCACCACCCACCAAGTGGCCCAAACTTGGAGTCACACATCCTTTGACCCTCACATCCAGTCAGGTCCATGTCTTTCCTCTAACATTTCTTAATGTCGCCTACTGCAGCCAGACAGGGGTGGTCACCCACCTGTCACCTCACTGTCCAGAAGTCCACCTATGCTGCTGTGCACGTGCTATTTAGTTTGGAGTTTGCTCAAAACTGGAGGCCTTTTGACACCAGCTTTTTGAGCTTGTTCAAGTCACACCCTCTGCCTGGAATCCATCCCTGCTGCCATCCATCTGGCAAACTCCTACTCAACACTCAAGCCTCAGCCTTACTGTTGCTGCTCTCCATCCCCCACTTCTCAGTAAAGCAGCCCCCAATGTACAATGCCCAGTCTTACGTCAAGGAAGCTAAAACACTTAACTGAACTTAATTGTTTGCAGAATGTTTTTCTTCCCCTACCAAACCATGAACTCAAAAGCCAAGACCTCATCTGATTTCTCTCTCTATTCCCTCCATTCAGAATAAAGCTTGCCTAGAACTGTTCAATAAATGTTTGATGAATGAAAGAACAGACTTTTATGGAAATTGCTTTTTAAAATTTGTGATTAAATTCACCAGTTTAACCATTTTATTTTATTTTAATTTTATTTTTTTAACATTTTTCAGTTTAACCATTTTAAAGTGGCATTTAGTCTTAGTGGCATTTAGCACATTCACAGTGGTGTGCAACCATTAAACTTCTCTAGTTCCAGAACATTTTCATCACTCCAGGAGGAAACTTTGAATCCATTGAGCAGTCACTCTCCATTCATCCCTTACCCCCCAGCCCCTGGCAACCAATCACCTTTCTGTCTCTCTGAATTTGCCTGTTCTGGACATTTCGTATAAATGGAATCATGCAATATGTAACCTTTGTGTCTGGCTCCTTTCACTTAGCATAATGTTTTCAAGGTTCATCCATGTCGTAGCATGTGTTAGTACTTCATTACCTTTTAGGGCTGAATAATAGTCTATTGTACTGATATACCACAGCTTGTTTATCTGTTCATCCACTGATGGACATTTAGCTCGTCTCCACTTTTTGACTAGTATGAATAGTGCTGCTATGAACATGCATGTACAAGTTTTTGTTTAAACATCTGTTTTTAATTCTCTTGAGTATTTACCTAGGAATGGAACTGCTGGGCAATATGGTTTTATATGTTTAACTTACTGAGGAACCACCAGACTATTTTCCACAATGATTGCTCCATTTTACTTTCTCACCAACAATGTATGAGGTGAGGATTCCAATTTCTCCACATTGTCTCCAGCACTTTTCTTTTCTTTTCTTTTTTTTTTTTTTTTCACCATATCCATCCTAATGAGTGTGAAGTGGTATCTTTCTGTGTTTTTTTTTATATCATCCATGTCTCCATTTAACAATTTCACTCTTTTCTCTAGCTTCTTGATCATATGGAATATAGTCATAACTATTTTAATATCCTTATCTGTCCCTTCTACCTATCTTGGTCAGTTTTCATTGACTGATTCTTTTTTCCTCATTATGGCTCCTTCTACATGGGCCCTTTGGCTTTTTGGAAAGAGCTTTTGGCTATTACTTTTAAGCTTTGTTAGGTGGGACCAGAGCAAACATTAGCCTAGGGCTAATTTTGCCCCATTATTGTGGCAAAGCCCATCTGATGTCTTGTGAAATATTCCTTGCCACTCTGAATGTTGGGAACTGTTGGGAACAGGAAGTGGACCTATGTGACCTCCAAGAATTGTTCCTTCTAATTCTTTTGGATGGTTCTTTTTCTTACCTCAGGTAGTTTCATCACGGACGCTGAAGACTCGAGGGGGACCCTTAGCAGACAGCCATAGCTTCCTTTTTGTGCAGCTCTCTTCTCTTTGACATTCTTCCCTGTGAACTAGTGCCACCTTGACCACCCCAGATTG